AACCGCTGGTGTAGCAGGAGCTGCTGGTGTATGAGGGAGGTGAGGTTGTTGGTGGAGGGGGAAGGGGTTTCAGCTCAGCGGCAATGGAATGCAGGGGGGGGGGGCTGAGTGCCAGGTGTGGGCAGCAGAGAGGTCCTGTGGCCAAAGCATCAGGGTCTTGTTGACCACTGAGAGGATTTGACTTCTGTCCAAGACACCAAGGAACCATTGGCGAAGCCCTTGAAGACATTGCTGCTCACATGCCAATCCTGGCTGGGTATTGAAGGGAGGGAGAGTAGAAGCTGATGGCTCAGTAGTTTGCGCCAGGGCCAGTGATAGCCAAGACCAGGGGAATGACATGGAGGTGGGAAGACTTGCCAGCTCAGATTTGCCTTGAAGGTGGACCTGTGCACACTGAGACTTCTCGGATACCCCTTTTCCCTGTGGCCGTGAGGGTTGTAAGCACAGCCTCCTCTCGTCTCCCAAAGGGCTTCTCTTGGCGCTACTTCGGCTCACAGATCTTCAGCACCCCCACCAGTCCTAGAGGAGTAGCTCTGACTCATGGCACCCCCATCTATGCCAGAGTACAGCCTGTACTCTACGGGGGTGGGGTGGGGTGTCAGAAGCTGGGTTTGTTTGGGGTGGGTGGTGGGTGGGAGAATAGATCGCTAAGCCTTTCTTCCAATGTTTCTCTGAGTGGACTTGAGCTCTAACCTTTTCATTTGCACCACCCAGGGCCTTTGGCCTCTAACAAGAGGTCAGCAATCATGCCCCCCAACTATAGCCATTAGGAGCATAGCATGCAGCCCCCGGGTAGGGCTTCTGGTGGACATACAGCAAAGCAGAGCCATTACTATTGATAGGGAGGAATACAGGGACCAAGGGGCAGTAGGAAAGGCCACTTCTGGGTTTGGGTGCTTCCATCAAATTGGGCAAACCTTGACTCTGTTCCTTTAAAAAATCCTGTACTTGGGGGACAGTGGTGGAGGGGTCTTTCCCATTGGAACTAGCAGGAGCAGACCCCTTACCTGCGCTCCTGCAGCCATTTCAATCCTTATAGCCCCTTAGAGCCAGGGGCCTCCTCAACCCCACCTTGCAGAGTCTCTGAGAAGTGAAGGGATTCACTTGATTCCTGAACAATTGTCTCAGAGCTTTGAGTCAGTGTGTACAGGGATTGAAATCTTGGGGACTGGCGACATCTGAGTTTGAATCCTGGCTCTGTCACATACCGTGCTGAGAGACCTTGGGCATGTCCCTTCTCCTTTCCTCGGTCTATAAAAACCTGGGCTGAGGAAGAGTTTGCCACAACTTGGGATGTGGAGACGGGTGTGGAGGCAGGGAGGTGATAGGAACTCGCATCCCTTCACCTCTGGGGACCTGTGCTCTGTGACTCTTGTGTGTTGTCCCCACCAGCATTTTGAAGTAGAGGCCTCATTGCCAGCTGCTGTCATGGAAACCAAGAGATGGAGGAAACAGGAGAGGCCCAGAGGAGGGGGAAGGGAGGGGAGGGAACCATTCCCTCTCTCCCTCAGCCCACCTTGGCCAGCTCATTATAACAGGTGTTGGCTCAGAGGGATGGAGCGGGGGCGGAAAGTGAGGCAGGGAGGAGGAGACAAACACAGGCCAGGGCCAGCAGGGCCTCTGTTCCAACAGGGAATGTGGGATGCAGGGGACCCCCTGTGGAGACCACTCACACAGCCTCCCAGGCGTCCAAGGTCAGGCTGGAGAGGGATCTGACTCAGACCGGAGTCCCTTCTTCCCCACTTGTGCTCTGAGGTGTTCAGAAGGCAACACCCTTGATCTTGGGGAAAAAGTCTCCACCGGTCCTCTTCACATCAGAGCTGAGGGACCTTCCAGCGGCATCTGCCCATCTGGGATCAGCATCCAAGTGAGTTGTTTACGATCCTGCTGAGAATACCTCTTTGGGGTCTGGACCTGCCCCTGCCACCCTACCTGTCTAGCTATCATTCAATTAACTCGATTCTGTAGCGAAGGGCCCCAGTCCAGCTCTCTGGAACCCTCTGTCACAACTCCTACCACCTCCTCCTTCCCCCACCATATCACTGTTGTTAGAGCAACACCCCCATTCATTCATTCAGCTTGTTTTGGTTTTTATTTTGAACTTAATTTATTTCTGAGCCAGAAGTGTTTGCTTCATCGGTTTCTTCTAGCATATCTTTTTCTTCTGTTACAATTTCCTCTTCTGGGTTGGGGAACAGTTTGTTCCTTTGCAATCAGGATAATTTCTGTGTGTTCCGGGAGCTCCTGCCTGGGTTCATCCCATGAGTTCTGTGAAGTCCGGCGGTGTATCGGGGGGGCTTTGTTCCCCTGGATGTGCTCAGTGGCCTGGGAATCCTTTCAGTTCAGCATCCCTCTCTACATGTTAAGTCAGCCTTCGTTGGGGACCACCGACGTTGTGTCCAACCCCACTGTTTGGCCTGTGCACACCTTCAAGTTCTGCAGCCCCTGGGACTCAGCAGGGGGGCTTCTGGATGGAGTCATAAAGAGATGAGCCGGGGTCCCTGCTTGGCCACTTTATATGAGCCGCATCACAGTTTAGTAGCCCCTCGACGACTAGCGGGTTGATAACAGGGATTCCATGAGTAGCCCAGGTGAGGCCCCTGCAAATAAATGGTAGTTGTGTGCTTCCATCTGGCGCATCTCTTCAGCCTCAGGCTACAATCACACTGGTGGGTCTGTGGTCGCCCTCTCACCTGCTGGGTGGGACACCTGCCTTCCGCTTCTGGCCAACACACTTCACGTGCAACCACTAGTACTCGGTCCATGGAAGATGACGTGTCCCTGGGATGCTCAATGGGTTTGTGATGTTCAACAGATTAGAAGGAAAAGCTTAGAAACCCTAAGAATCACATAATCTGATCCCCAAGTGACCGTGACTATGGGACAGGCCTGGACAGTGTCTTGTTCCGCTGTGCATGGATCACTGTGAGGTTGGGCTTGGTTTGATGGCACCTATATGAGTGACAACACAGAAGCACAGGAGGGGACAGGATTTATCTCCACTGGAGAGCCCAGAAAGTTGGCTCATGTGTTGACGTCAAGTCTCCAAGATGTTATTGTTACTACGTGCCACTGAGTTGGCTCGACCCACAGCGACTGTATGCACAACAGAATGAAGCACTGCACGGTCCTGTGCCATCCTTGCCACTGATGCCCTGTCTGAGCCCATCGCTGCAGCCACTGGGCCAATCCATCTCATTGAGAGCCTGCCTTTTTTGTTTTTGTGTTTTGCTTCTCCTACTTTGCCAAGCATGATCTCCTTCTCTAGGAACTGTCTCTCCTGACAATATGTCAATATGTCCAAAGTATGTAAGATGAATTCTCACCATCTTTGCCTCTAAGGGGCACTCGTGTAATTCAGCAAAGTTAAGTGAGTAGGGCTTTGTAGGCAGAAGATCAAGCCTGAGCCAAGGCAGGCATCCTGGGAGGTGCAAATGCCTCACGATGGTGGTTCGAGTCCACTTAGAGATACCTTGGAGGCAAGGCATGGTGATGTACTTCCCCCAAATCAGCCATGGAAAACACTGGCGAGCACAGTGCTGCTCTAAGGCTCAGGAGGCCCCCATGAGTTGGAGTTGACTCAATGACCGAGTTCTGGTTTTGGTCCAAAGGCATGGCGGTTGGAAATAGCATTATGGGTGCAGGAAGCTGTGAGCAGCTTGCTTACCAGAGCATAAAGCCAAGACCAAGGGTAGGTGGTGAGAGACGAACAAAGCTAGACAGATGAACATGGCCAGAATTGCTCAGGGGCTTTTCAAACGTTGGGGTCGCCTCTTCCGTGTCTTGATCTAACCTAAAATTGTCATCACAGTGGATTCATGCTCTGGAGACCCGAGGGGGACCAAGGGGACTTGGGGAGTGTTCACTGCCCATTGCGCCTCTGGAGCCCTGCTCCTCATGGGGCCGTTCTTAGACCAGCAGCAGTAGCAGGAGCTGGGAGCTCGTTGCTGTTACCCCAGACTCATGGCGGCTGCATGCACAAGAGAACGAACCACTGACCAGTTCGGCACCGTCCCCGTGATCGATCGATCCATAGAGATTTCATTGACTGAGCTTCAGAAGTAGATTACCAGGCCTTTCTTCTCAGTCCCTCTTAGTCTAGAAATGCCACGGAAACCTGTGCCGCCTCGTAGCAAGACTCAAGTCTGACAGACAATTGGTGACTGCATATGAGATGCCCTGGACAGGAGTCAAGCCCAAGTCTCTTACATGGAAGGCAAGAATTCTACCACTGAACTACCGGGTCCCTTGGGGAACTTATTATTAGAAATGAAGACTCTCAGGAAGAATCCAAATCTGCATGTGAACAAGTTCACTGGATGAGTCAGGTCCAGACCGAGAGGGGCAGGGCTGGTATAAGTGGTGTCCGGAAGCGTGCAGACATTGCTCAATCTGCTTGCGATCCCCTGGAAGAGGTGAGCTCTTTGCTCTCCCAACAGACCAGCAGGCAGGTTTTGGTTAGTCTCAGAGGAGAACTGGGAGGAGTTGCTCCAACTCTGGGATAGCTTTTAAAGGGGAACTGTCGCAGCCCCTTTAAAGACCTTCCTTAGTCCTTGTGGACCCCTTTAGATCTCGCATAATCTAAGGGGACATCATCTAAACACACCTTTCTCACTCATTCAGAAGGGGGACGACTGCTCTCTGTACCTAGGTGAGCATCATCTCCAAATAAAAGACCCTTGGGCACGAGATTCACCAGGTGCTCCTTGGCTCCTTCTGAGAGATGATCCATCGCGGAGGACAGGGCGTCCAGACCTTGTGTGTGTCACTTGCTTAATAGCCCCTGATTGTACGTCTGTGTGTTCTCGCGAGAAAGGGAACGTGATGTTACAGAGCTTCCTGCCTTGCCAAGGGCCTTGAAAACCAGGTCAAGTGCTTCGGACTTTTGCTGGGCGACAGGAACCCATTGGAGAGCTGGTAGCAGGGGAGTGGGTGAGAGCTGCTTGTTGAAAGACTGCCCTGTCAGAAGCGTGGAGGTGACTCGAAGGGCCGGGTGACATCCATGTGGAGGCTGGTGCAGGGCCCAGGCAGGGTTGGGGGACACAATATGTAAGGTAAGCACAGGCTGGCTTATGCTTATTTATTAATATTCAGTGAACAATTTGACTTTTTTTTTCTCCACCGCATGAAGAATTCTGCTTCCAGGTCTGGTTGCCATCTGTCTTTCTCCCAACCCTACAGCCTCTTTTTACAGAGTCAAAGCCGCTTTTCACATTTAAATCCCAGACAGGGATCCCCAGTAAACCAGCTAAGCATAGGCGTTTTTGTACCTATTTACTAACCCGTGGTGAATAATCTCATATGGGTTTCACTAGAATCTTGCTTATTGGATCATGTAGGCCCCGGTGAGAGAGAAGCTTGGGCACAGACAATATCTCTGCGTGGTCACACAGCTCAGCCACCAAGGGCCACACTTTGTCTTGCTAAGCGGCCAATGGTTCCGGGAGAGTCTGGGTTCATATTTCATGTAGGTTGCTTGACTCTTCAGCCAACAGCTACCTGGTCTTACCCTTCCTGTTACTGATTTCTGATTTAAAGTATTGTGGTCTGAGAAAATGCTTTGTACTATTTTGATCATTCGGAATTTATTGTGGCCAACATACGGTTTATTCTGGAGAATGACCCAGATGCACTGAAGAAGAACATGTACACCGCTGCCATTGTGTGCAGTGTTCACCACATGTCTGAGATCAAGTTGGTTGGTTGTGTCTTTGTTGAATTCTTTCTGGCTAGCTTGTTCTTCACTGAAAATAGGGAAGAGGTAGGATATATGATGTTGCATTGTGCCATTGCAATCAATGACATGAAACAAGACGTGTGAACTGTTGACAAGAAAGCTGATTTACTCTGTCCACCTTCAGTCAACTTACAATATAAAGTTTACATTAAAAAAGTTAATAAAAATAACTTTAAAAGGAAAGCGGTGTGTTAGAGGGTCCTACCATTATTGTGGAGCTGTCTGTTTCTCTTTGCAATCCTGTTAATGTTTGTTTTATGTATTGGGGTGCTCTTTCATTGGGTGCGTGGGTATTTATTATGGTTTTGTCCCCTTGCTGGTTTGACCCTTCAGTCCTGGTATAACACCCTGCTTGTCTCCTATGCTAGTTTTCACTTCAAGGTCAGTTTTATCAGAAATGAGTACTGCCACTCCTGCTCTTGTTTGGTTGTCATTTGCTTGACATACTGATGCCATCCTTTGATTTTTAGCTTTGTGTCTAAGGTGTGTCTCTAATGGGCAACATATTGATAGGTCATACTTTCTTATCCACTCGGCCGCACTTTATCTCTTGACTGGTGCACTTGATACATTTACATGCAATGTAATCATCCATCAGAATGGCTTTACTCCTGTCATTTTGTTGTTGTTTTTAATGGTGCTGATTTCTTTGTATACATGTCCTTGGTGAGTTCTTTTTGTGCACCGATCTTCTTTTCATCTCTTGTTGGTGATTTTGAGATTACTAAGTCTTTATGATGCCCTTCATTTTTATTTTGGCGAGAAGTCTTATTAGTTTTATTTGTGAATACTCTGGAATTTATTTTTATCTTCCTAAGAACAGAAGCTATATTTGAAGCAGCAAATAAACTGACCAGTCATAGAATTTGGAACCCTCTCCTCTGAGCGTTTTTATTTGTAAGACCAAGCGAGTATCAGAACTGCCAGCTGGAATCTCGGTCCTTCCTGGGAACTCGTCCCTGTAAGTCTCACACCAGCCCCTGAGGTGAAGACGGAAGAACGTTCTGGAGGGTGCAGGGTCCCAGGTCAAGCTAAGAAGACGGAGGAAGAAAGAGAAGCGAGGCCTGTGAAATATTTCTAGAAATCTTCTAGAACAGTGTTTCCTGGAGTAGCTCCATGGAGCTCTAAATGAAAGGAGGCGCCATTACTAATTAGGTTTAGAAATGTGTATGTCATCCCCTTTGTTTTTGAGATGAATAATTCCCCACCCAAAGCATAGACTTTGGGTTAGACAGAACCTGGTTTGAAATCTCAGCTCCCTCACTTACTGTATGACCTTGAACAATGCTTTTCTTGTCTGTCCTTGTCTGTAAAATAGGAATAATATCAGTACTGATGACATAAGGTTAGGATGATGAGTCAATAAGACCTGACACATTAAAAAAAAAAATCCCTTACCACGGAGGCCATCTGACACATGCTGAAACTGCTGCAGAGAATGTTCTCCGATGCGTGTGGAAGGAAATTGTCAGGCCTTTCTTCCACGGGGCTGCTGGGGGGTTCACATCATCTGTATTTAGATTAGCAGCCAAGAGAAGACCACTTAGATCACTCTAAATAACCAAAACCCAACTCACCGCCCAGTCGATGCCAACTCATAACCAACCCACGGAACAGGATAGACCTGCCCATGGTCCCCATGCTCAGGTCACCACCCGTCTCTCAGATATGTGTGTGGCTGTGACACGGAACACGTTTCAACAGTGCTTCCAGGCTAAGAGGCACTGAGAAGACAAGTCTGGTGATATACTTCTGAGAATCCAGTGGATCACAAAGCTTCTGATCCCGGGCAAAACACAGGATCAGGCAGCAGTTTATTCTGTTGTGCGTACTGGGCTGTCATGACGTGGGTCAACTTGACAGCAGCTAACAACTACGCAACCCTTCGGGATGCGCATCCGATCTTCCTTTCTGCAAAGGAGTGAGCAAAGGATCAGCCAGATGACACATATCCCTCCAGGTCATCCCTCCAGGTTGCTAGCTAGTAAGCAACACAACTGGGTTGCAAACTCAGGTCTCCCTGGTCCCCTAAACTCTGGCTCCTGTCCATTAGACTACACTGGATGTCATCCCCAGGGAAACGGGCCAGATTTCCGGTTGTGTGGACTAGTATTGAGAAGGCTTCAGATGCCACACCTCCTTACATACAGATAGTTTAACACCACCCCCCCCCTTTACCAGGCTGAAATGAAGATCACCTAATCTACCCTA